ATAGTCTATGAGTTTCCATGATCTCGATTCAGCTGATTCTGTAGATTTTATCCATGATGATCTTGAACACGCTTACTCATATGATCCCTGCTCTCTCTCTTCACCTGGGTTCCCAAAGTCCTGCCTGATTCTTGGTTGTGGATATCTGTGTCTGGTTCCATCGTTTATTGGGTGAAGGCTCTGTGAAGATAGTGGAGGTATTCATCAAACTGATTATAGGCATAGGTCAGTTAAGGTATCATCTGTAATATTGCGAGTACTCTTACTTTGGATCCTCTTTATGGATTCCTGGGAGTGGCCCTACCACTAATTTTCTCCCTAAACCCACAGTAACACTCTATATTAATATATCTTTTTCAATCGTCTTTCATTTCCTATGCCCCCATCTCATTCCCTCTTCTTTTCATGCCCCATCCCCTATTCTTTACCACCCCTACTTCAGTTATGTCCGTTTATATCATCTAACTTCTCTTCCCAGGGTTATCAATGTATCCCTCTTAGGATCCTCCTTGTTGTGTACCTTATCTGCAGCTGAGGACTTTAATCTGGTTATCTTTTGCTTTATATCTAATATCCACTTATGAGTGAATACACGCCATGTTTCTCTTTCTCAGTCTCAGTTACCTCACTCAGGATTTTTTTTCTAGTTCCATCCATTTCCCTGAAAAATTTGGAAGTCAGTTTTTACCACTGAGTAGTACTCCATTGTGTAAATGTCTTACATTTTACTTATCTGCTCTTCACCTTGTTGGAGGCATCTTTGTTGTTTCCTTGTTCTGGCTATTAGAAATAATGCTGTTATGAACATTGTTGATCAAATGTCCATGGGGTATGATTAAGTGTATTTTTCGTAAATATCCATGAGTGGTATTACTGGGCCCTGAAGTAGACAGATTTCCAATTTTCTTTGGAACCCCAATACTGATATGCAAAACGGCTGTACAATTTTGCAATCCCACCAAGAGTGGAGGAGTGTTACCTTGGCACTACATCCTCTCCAACATAAACTGTCCTTAGTAAATTTAATCTTATCCATTCTGACAGGTGTAAAATGGTATCTCAGAGTCATTTTGATTTGCATTTCCCTGATGATTAAGGATGTTTAGAAATTCCTTAAATGTCTTTTGGTCATTTGGGATTTTTCTGGTAAGAATTCGCTGTTAGGTCTGTACCCCATTTTTCAATTGGATTATTTTGTATTTTGATGCATAGTTTTTGTGTTTTTATAAAAATTGGAGTCATCTGCCAAATATGGGTTTGGTGAAGATCTTTTCCTATTCTATAGGTTACGGTTTTGTCTTATTGTGTATATCTTTGCCTTACAGAATATTTTCAGTTTCATGAGGTCACATTTATTAATGCCTGCTCTAAGTAGCTGTGCTACTGCTATTATATTTAGGAAGCAGTCTCCTGTGACAATGCTTCCATGATTTTTTAGGGTCTACATAATGTCTGTTCAGGATCCTTTGGTTTTGAGAGTCTCCATTGAGAATTCGGGTGTTATTCTGATAGGTTTTCTTTAATATGTTTCTTGACTTTTACCTTTGCAGCACATAATATACTTTCTTTATTCTATATATTTTATGTTTTTATTATTACATGGTGGGAGGAATTTTTTTTGATCCAGTCTATTTGGTGTTCTTTTCTTGTTTTGTTTTTGTTTTTGTTTTGTTTTGTTTTTGTTTCCTCAAATGTACTCATTACAATAAAGTGACTAAACATGATATTTCTTTTATTAATTTAAATTAGAAATAAGCTTGCTTTATGTGTCAATCCCACCTCCCAACCCCCAACTAATCCCCAACTGCCCCACCCCATCCCCCAACCCTCCTCAGTGGGTAGGCCCTTCATATGGGAATCTCCAAAGTCTATTACTTCATGCAAGTCCGAGTATTGTCCCTCCCCCATGTGTCCATGCTAAGATAGCATCTCTGAAAGAGTAATGGGCTCCCGATTCCATTATTATGACCAGGATATATACTGATCTACTACATGAGACCCAATAGATTGCCGAGGCCTTCTCATTGACACCCACATTCAAGTGGTCTGGACCAGTCCCAGGCTGACCTGTCAGCCATCAGGCTGAGTTCCATGAGATTTCCCTTGTTCAGGTCAGTTGTCTCTGTGGGTTTCACCAGCCCGGTCTTCACCCCTTTGATCATCACTCCTCCTTCTCTACAACTGGGTTCTAGGAGTTCAGTTCAATGTTTAGCTGTGGGTGTCTGTCACTGGATAAAGGTTCTAGGATGGCATATAAAGTAGTCAGTCATCAATCACATTATGGGAGGAGGACATTTAATTAAGCCTATCCATTATTCTTAGATTGCTAGTTTGTGTCATTCTTGTAGTTCTCTGGAAATCTCACAGAAGCCAGATCTCTCCTCCACTCCCTCTTTTATGGTATCTCTCATCCTGCTCTCCTCTGCTCTTGATCCAACTCAACCTTCCTGCTCTCCAATGTACCCCTCTCCATTCTTCTTCCCCATTCACTTCCTCCCTGCTCTCAAACCCCACTGCCCATTGTCCCAATCCACCCAGGAGATCCTATCCCATCCTCCTACTCTGCAATAGTAATCAAATCTCTCTTATGTCTACCCTGGTTCTCAGAATGCAGGCATTGGGATTGTAGGCAGGAAATCCCGTTCCATGTCTAAAATCCATGTATGAATGACTGCATGTCATATGTGTCATTCTGTGACTGGGCTCCCTCACTCAGGTTGGTTTCTTCTAGTACCATCCATTTGCCTTTTGCCTGCAAATTTCAAGATTCCATTGTGTCTTGTTTTCCACTGAGTATCACTCCATTGTGTAAATCTACCACATTTTCTCTACCCACTCTTCGATTAAGGGGCATCTAGGTTGTTTCTGGATTTTACCTATTACAAATAATGCTGCTATGAACATAGTTATTGTATGAATGTGCATCTTTTGGGTAAATGCCTGAGAGTAGAATTGCTGGATCTTGTTGTAGACTCATTCCCATTTTCCTGAAGAATCTCCATACTGATTTCCAAAGTGCCTATATGAGTTGGCACTCCCACCAGCAGTGGAGGACGATTCCCTTTCTCCACATCCTCTCCAGTACTGTCTATTTGGTGTTCTATAAGCTTCTTATATCTTCATACGCATTTGCTCCTTTAGTTTGGGAAGGTTTTATTCTATGATTTTTTAATGTGTTTTCTGTGCCATTGAGCTGGTATTCTTCTCTTTCTAATTCTATTATCCTTAATTTTGATCTTTTCTTGGTGCTCCAGATTTCATAGACATTTTGTGTTATGGCACTGTTGGCTTTAATATTTTCTTTGGCCCATGAATCTATTTCTTCTATCATATTTTCAATACTCGAAATTCTCTCTTCCTTCTATTGAATTCAGTTTGTGTAGGTTGTATCTATTGTTTCTGTTCGTTTACCCAAAGTTTCCATTTCCAGAATTTCCTCCATTTGTGCTTTCCTTTTTGCCTCCATTTCAGTTTTCAAGTCTTGCACTAGTTGTTTTTTCCATGATTTTCTTAACTTTAATTAAGGAACTTATAGATTTCTCCCAAATTTTGGAGTGTCTTTTCCTCCATTTCTTTAAGGGAATTCTTCATTTCTTCTTTAAGGACCTCCTTCATCTTTATCAAGTTATTTTAAGGTTGTTGTTTTCTGCTTCCTTTGTATCGGGATCGTCAGGGGTTCCTAATGTAGTACTAGTAGGCCCTTACATTTCCATATTGTTATTAAGGATGTTAAATTTATTCTTGTATCGATGTCTACCTACATGCTTGGTATAGGCAGTGTTTTTGCTGCTTGATCCAACCCACTTAGTCCACTTTCTCATCCCTCTCTGTACAGTAGATATCTCTGTCCCAAGGAGTAGCTCTTAAACTTTTCTCCCTCAGTATTCTTTCTCATTCCTCTCACCCATTTCTCTGTGCCCCAGGGAGACAAAGAACATTCTGAGAATGGGTTGGTTCTGGGGTCAGAGTGGGATTTGTATGTTACAGAGTCCCATGTGGGGCTGTAGATGTTGCTTACCTGTAGGAATCTTTCCTGCTGACCTGGTAGTGTGGATGATTTGTGTCCAGAATTTTGCTGGGGACTGCATTCCTGGTGGATGTTTGTTCCAGTTGGGAAATGGATCACTCACCTCTCAGTCCTCTGTACACTCAAATAATTGATTTTTATTCCATGCTTAAAAATTTCAGTACACAATCATTTATCATTTTGCTTTCCACCTCTTTGAAAGGAAACTACTATCGAGTAGAGGCCTCTATGATTGTATCCCATCGTGCTGCAAATAAATACATATCTAAAATAACCCAGGAAAGCATTTCTTCATACTGGAAATGTGTAGATGCATACCTTATTTTTGAACATCTATTACTTTAGGATCATGAGGTTCCTAATGATATCATATTCCCAGAAGAAAGCAGTAATTGCCACAGATAACCACTTTTCTTTTTTTGTTCTTGTTGTTTTTTATTATTAGTATTTTTTGTATTTCATTTTTTTCTTTTTAAATTTAATTTTAGATTAGAAACAAGGTTGCTTCACAACTCAGTTCCAGGTCCCTCTCCATATCCCTCCCCTCCAACCGTGCCTTCCCCCAACCACCAAAATATCCCCTCATTTCCCCAGGAAGAGTGAGGCCCTCCTTGGGGGTGTCCATAGTCTGTCATTTCATCCAGGACAGGGCCTAGATCCTCCCCCAAAAGTTCAGGGTGAGAGTGCATCTCACATTGTTGGATGGGAGTCCAAAGTCCATGTGTATACTCGGGATAAATATTGATCGACTGCCCAAGGCTCAATAGATTGCCTAGGCCTCTTCACTGACACCCCCATTCTTCCATCAGCCACTGAATGAAGGTTCTGTTTCCCAGACTCACTGGCCATGGGATTGTTGGCAGGCACTTCCCAGATCTATGTCTAAAATCCATATATGAGAGAATACATGTCATGTTTCTCTTTTTGTGACTGTGTGCAGTGAGAGTTGTAGGCAAGGATTCAGGAAATTTACCCTGGAGGGCAAGGCTGTTTTCTGCTATGGTTGCATTGCTTGTCCAGACAATGAGATTTCTAATGAGAGAGGAAAGCAGAAATGTTACAGAATGTCTCTACATGATCTCACATTATCTTAACAACTGCAATATAATGCAGTATTCAAGTAACTTCTACCACAGATACACTAATAGCATAAAAGACAGTAGAAGTTTGTAAGAGATAAAAAGTCATTAGATTTGTTTGACTATTATCACTATAAGGAGGATGGATCATCAGCAAGGCCTGAGCACCCCAATGAAAATGAAGCAGAAGAGAATGACCTGAAAAATAGCTTCATGAAAACAATTCAAACCAAAAATACAAGAAAGCAGCAAATCTCTTAACGAAATAAAAATATGGTGGAAATGATTCAAACAGTTCAACACAAGAAAACTGAAATATAGACTCTAAAGAAAACACAAATGCAGGAATGCTGGAAATACAAAAGCTGGGTAAATTGTCAGGAACCACAAATGCAAGAATAACCAGAAGAATACAAGAGATGGAAGAGAGAACCTCAGGTGATGAAGATTCACTACGAGAAACAGATTAATTTACCAAAAAATTTAATTTCAACAAACCTCAAATAAAAAATATCCAGGAAATATAGGACAATGTGAGTAGATCAAACCTAAGATTAATAGGTATAGATGAAGGTGAAGAAACCAATCTCAAAGGTGCAGAGAAGATAAGAAAATCATAGAATAAAGTGCTCACAACATAAAGAACGTAATGCCAATGAAAATACAAGAAGCTTAGAGGGCACTAAATAAAGTAGACCAAAATAAAAAGAATTCTCCACACATAATAATCAAATCCCAAATTTACAGAATAAAGAAAGAACATCAAGAGCAAGCAGCTAAGGAAAAAGGCCAAGTAACATACAAAGGCAAACCTATCAGAATTACAACTTAATTCTACATGGAAATTCTGAAACTCAGAAGGTCCTAGAAATATATTCTACCAACAATAGCAGACCATGGATGCCAGCCCAGACTACTATAGCCAGCAATGCTTTCAGTCACTACAGGTGGAGAAAATAATATATTCCATGACAAAATCAGATTTAAACAATCCATATCCACTTATCCAGCCCTACAAAAAGTTCTGGAAGGAAAACTCCTACACAAGGAATTTAACTACAACCAGAAATGCATAGGCACTAGATAATCTAACCTTATCAACAGCCAAAAGAAAAAAGGGGTGGAAATCCACACAAAATTCCACCAATAACCACAAATCCAAAACAAACAACACTGAACAATCAATGGTCATTACTCTCCCTCAATACTCATGGTCTTAATTAACCTATGAAAAGCCACATGCCAACAGATTGGATGGAAAGACAGAGTCCATTCTTTGCTGCATACAATTAACACACCTCAACTTCCAATACTGATGTACCTCAGAGTTAAGCGTTGGGAAATATTTTCCAATCAAATGGACCAAAGAAACAAGCTGGTGTAGCTATCATAATATCCAACAAATTAGACTTTAAAATAAAATCAATCAAAAGACATCAATGTCATTTCATATTTATCACAGGAGAAAACCATCAAGATGAAGTCTCAATTCTGAACATGCCCAAAATACAAAGGCAATCACATTTGTAAAATAAACATTACTAAACCTCAACTCACATGTAAAACCTCAAACACTTATAGTGGGAGACTTCAACACACCACCCTTACCACTAGAAAAGAGCACCAGACATGAAACTTTTTTTAAATTTTATTTTCCAGTTTAAATTTAGATAAGAAACAAGGTTGCTTCACAAGTCAGTTCCAGGTCCCTCTCCCATTCCCTCCCTTCCTCCCGTGCCCTCCCCCCCTGTTATCCCCTCATTTCTCCAGGGAGGGTGAGGCCCTCCATGGGGGTGTGCATAGTGTGTCATTTCATATAGGGCAAGGCCTAGACTCTTCCCCAAGAGTTCAGGATGAGAGTGCACCTCACATTGTTCTATGGGAGTCCAAAGTCCGTGTGTTTACTTGGGATGGGTACTGATCTGCTGCCCAAGGCTCAATAGATTCCTTAGGCCTCTTCACTGACACCCAGATTCAGGGGGTCTTGATCAGTCCCATGCTGGCTTCCCAGGCTAATGCCTGGGAATCAAGAGTTTACCTTTGTCTGGTCAGCTGTTTCTGGGGGTTAAACCAGCCCAGTCTTAATCCCTTTGATCATCAGTCCTCCCTCTCTGTTACTGGCTTTCTTGAGTTCAGCTCAGTACTTAACCAAGGGAGTCTGCCTCTTCTTCGATCAGCCACTAAATAAAGTTTCTGTTTCCCAGACTCTCTGGCCATAGGATTGTAGGCTGGCACTTCCCAGATCTATGTCTAAAATCCATATATGAGAGAGTACATGCCATGTTTCTCTTTTTGTGACTGGGTTACCTCACTCAGGATGGTTTCTTCTAGTGTCATCCATTTGCCTGCGAATCTCATGATTCCATTATTTTTTTCTGCTGAATAGTACTCCATTGTGTAGATGTACCACATTTTCTCTATCCACTCTTCAGGTGAGGGACATCTAGGTTGCTTCCACGTTCTGGCAATTACAAATAAAGCTGCTATGAACATAGTGGAACAGACATCTTTGTTGTATGAATGGGCATCTTTTGGATATATGCCTAAGAGTGGAGTTGCTGGGTCTTGTGGTAGGTTTATTCCCATTTTTCTGAGGAATCTCCACACTGATTTCCAAAGTGGCTGAACCAGTTGGCACTCCCACCAGCAATGGAGGAGTGTCCCCTTTCACCACATCCTCTCCAGCATAAATTGTCATTGGTGTTTTTGATTTTAGCCATTCTGACAGGGGTGAGATGGTATCTGAGAGTTGTTTTGATTTGCATTTCCCGGATGGCTAAGGATGTTGAGCACTTTCTCAAGTGCCTCTCAGCCATTTTAGACTCCTCTATTGAAAACTCTCTATTTAGTTCTGCAGCCCACTTTTTAATAGGGTCCTTTGGTGTTTTGGAGACTTGCTTCTTGAGTTCTTTGTAAATTTTGGAGATCAACCCTCTGTCAGATGTGGAATTAGTGAATATTTTTTCCCATTCTGTGGGCTGCCTTTTTGTCTTGCTGACTGTGTCCTTTGCCTTACAGAAGCTTCTCAGTTTCAGTAGGTCCCATTGATTAATTGTTGATCTTACTGCCTGTGCTAATGGTGTTATGTTCAGGAAGCTGTCTCCTGTACCAATTCGTTCAAGGGTACCACCCACTTTCTCTTCTAAGAGGTTCAGTGTGGCTGGATTTATGTTGAGGTCATTGATCCATTAGGACTTAAGTTTTGTGCATGGCGATAGACATGGATCGATCTGCATTCTTCTACATGCCAGTCTCCAATTATGCCAGCACCATTTGTTGAAGATGCTTTCTTTATTCCATTGTATATTTTTAGCTTCTTTTTCAAAGATCAGATGTTCGTACGTGTGTGGGTAAATACCCGGGTTTTCAATTCGATTCCATTGGTCTACCTGTCTATTTTTGTGCCAAGACAGAAACTTAACAAAGAAACAAAGGAATTATTAAAATTTATGACCTAATTGGTTTAAACATACAGCTATACAAAATTCCTTCCAAATGAGCAAAAAATTATACCTCCTTTTCAGGGCCACATGGAACACTCTCAAAAATCAAACACATACTAGGTAATATATCAAACCTCAACAGATACAAAAAAATGGAATATACCAGTGTTTCATATCAGATCAGCATGCTTTAAAGTTAAAATTCAACAACAATACAAATTGCAGAAAAGCTACAAATTCAAGAAAATTGAACAATGTGCAATTGCACCATTCCTGGCTCAAGGAAGTAATACAAAAGATACTAAACAATTCCTAAAATGCAATGAGAAACAAGACACAGCATACCCAAACATATGGGACACTTTGAAAGCCGTACTAAGAGAAAAGTTAATAGCACAATGTGCCCACATGAGGAAACTGGGGAATAGTCACACTAGCAAATTAACAGCACAACTCAAAGCTTTAGAACACAAAGAAGCAAATTCACCCTGGAGTATTACATGCCAGGAAAGAATCAAATTGAGGGCTGAAATCAATAAAGTAGAAATTGGGAAAGCAATACAAAGAATCAAGATAACAAAGAGTTGGTTCTTCGCATAAATCAGCAAGATAGACAAACCTTTATCCAAACATACCAAATGGCAGGGAGTCAACATGCAAATTAACAAAATCAGAAATGAAAAGGAAGTCATAACAAGGAACACTGAGGTAATCCAGAGACTATTCAGGACAAACTTTGAAAACCTGTACTCCTTAAAATTCGAAAATCTAAAGGAAATTGAAAATTTTCTAGATAGATGTCACTTACCAAAATTAAACCTTGACTACGTAAACAATTTAAGTAGGCCTACACCCCTAATGAAATATAAGCTCTCATCAAAAGTCTCCCAATCGAAAACAACACAGGGCCAGATAGCTTCAGTGCATCATTCTTCCAGAAATTCAAATAACAGATAATACCAACTCTCCTCAAATTATTCCCCAAAATAGGAGCGGAAGGGTCTTTGCCAAACTCTTTTTTTGAGGCTTCAGTAACGTTGGTGTCCAAGCCACATAAAGACACATCTAGGGAAGAAAGCTACAGACCAATATCCCTCATGAACATTGATGCAAAAAGACTCAATAAAATAATGGAAATTGAATCCAAGAACTCTTCAAAAGAATCACCCACCATGATAAAGTAGGCGTCAAGCCAGGGATGCAGGTGTGGTACAACATACAAAAATTAATCAATTTAATCCACCATATGAACAAACTGAGAAAGAAAAATCACATGATCATCTCACTAAATGCTGAAAAAGTCTTTGACAAAATCCAACAACACTTCCTGATAATTGTCTTGGAATTATGAAGAATATCGGGAACATACATAAACATAATAAAAAACATATGCAGCAAACAAACAGCCAACATCAAACTAAATGGAGAGAAACTCAACCAGACTCATCCAAAATAAAGAAAAAGACAAGGCTGTCCACTCTCTCCATACCTCTTCAATAATATATTTGATGCTCTCAATAGAGCAATAAGGAAACAAACAGAGATCAATTGTATACAAATTGGAAAAGAAGAAGTCAAATTTCACTATTTGCAGATTATATGATAGTTTACATAAGTGACCTGAAAAACTCTGTCAGAGAACTCCTACAGCTGACAATCAACTTCAGAGGATACAAGATAAAATAATACAAAACAAAACATTAGGTGTAGTATATGCAGAAGATAAATAGACGGAGAAAGAAATCAGAGAAACATCACCCTTTAATATTTCCAGAAACAACACAAAATACCTTTGGATAATGCTAAGCAAACAAGTGAAAGACATGGATAGCAAGAACTTTGAATCTTTAAAGAAAGAAATTAAACAACATAGCATTAAAAGGAAAGATCTCCCATGCTCTGGCA